ATATTAAATATACTTTTTTAATATATATATAATCAGATGCAATTCAAAGCAGTACCTCGCCTATTGATAATAATTAATACTATCCATTCATGGTTCTTTATTTCATTTATCTAGGGGGCAACTTAGCCTATTCGGCTCCAACTTTGTCGGCGCCATTATCCACCGTCTCCGATTCCGCTCGTTTATCTATTTTGCAGCTCAGTTCGCCTTCACAACTGCGTGAACACCCAAGAAGCCCATTACCAGTATTAAATGACTCTGCAGTGAACGATTACATTCCATTAGGGACGTCAAACCTTTCTGAAATCGTGGTTGTAGAGAAAGATGTTGCAAACTTGCCAACTTCACTGTCTGCCCCTACCACCATTACCACTGCAGTTAGCACCACTTTTCTCTCCGATAGAACCGAGCCAGACAAACCTCGACGTGGTCGTCGTCGACCATCAGCTTCCTGTGCTTCAACTAGTCCGCGGCCTAAAGCCACTCGACGTGGCCTACTTGGTCTCACAAAGCGCCGTCTTTTTCTACCTTTAGATGGACAGAAATCTTTTGTGAATGATTCTCGAGAGGTCAAAAAACGCTTATATGCTGAGGACAATGAGTGGTGTGTCTGCGATGAGGATTCAAATGCTGCTCAGGTGAGACATATGTTTTGCACATATTAATACAAATTTTCATCGTACTTCATCCATAAGCGTAATAATATAATATAACATTAACCAATCGTATTTTCGGTTTAAACAAGTAAAGTATACAAAAGTCGCTATTTGCTATAACAAAATCTCTCTTTCGAGAATAGTTGTATGGATTAATGAGCTTACACCATTGGACTCCATTTATGTAGAATTTAGTAGAACTCTAAAATCTAAAACTCATTTCTTAGGACTTACATAGATAAGTAAGTCTCAAATTATAGTATATATTTGAAGATATGATGACTAAGATGGTGTGGCCTCCGGTATCGTCCCAGTTTTCTTTCGATTTATAGGAGTGGGTTGACGTCGTTGTCGCAACTTGGTTTTGTTGTCCGGGAGACTTAGTAGAACTCACCTAGTACGAAGTCATCTGCCATAGTAGTTGTCGTGCTTCCCAGCATCAGACAGTGGACTTGGTACATTCTCAAACGTTTCGCCGGGATCATAGTAGTAAAGGCTTGACGATGAGACGTACTCAGAGGCTTTAGCCTCGAATTAGTCACCCAGACGCAGGTTAGGGCGAATAACGACTCGAGTAGTAGATGGGGTGGCAGGGTTTGAGTGAAATACTTGAACCAGGGATATAGCAGACGGATCTTACGGGGCAAGAGAGACTGTGATAAGACCTAGGGAAGGAAGACTGCGTAGCAATATGGCAGTCTCTGATTAACATTCCCATCACAAGGGTGAAGGGGGTGAGAACGACATCGTGAAGTGGGGAGGGTTTTTATAAATGCCACTCAAAAGAGAACACCACACTACATCGAATTAAGCACGGCAAACATTGTTAGAGTGAAGGCGTGATAAGAGGATATAGGAAATGTGAATAGCCCAAGACAGAATGGGAGATACCACAACTGCTTAGCACACGTTTGGTCAAAGGATAGGCCTACTTGTCCCGTTGACGAGTTGTTTTGTGGTGCTACGAATGACGAGACTTACTGATGATGCCGGCCAAACGTCTGGGGATGTACCACATCCATGGTCCGACTTTGGAAATGTTCATGCATACAATGGATTCCGGACTATGTGCTTTCCTCTAGATCTTCCTACCAATATGACAAAGTTGCGAAAACAAAGTTAAACAACCTCTATACAAAGAAAGGAGATTGCGACCACACAAAAGGCCACGCCATCTTGGTCTGCATACCTTCGATATATAAATTTGCTTCACCGACAATCTCACCACAGAGTGTGATATGGGAAAATGTCTGATCTTCCTTGAAATTCACATCATCCTTATTTACCCAACAGCACTCATGGCAATGCGACCTACTATTTAACGTGTCATGATTATACGCTGCACTTTCATGTTTCGAGCCCTGCTTGGAGCTCTTAAATGAAATAAGAGTGAGAACATCTGATATGTCTGATTTACTGGTAGTTTCGACAACTTATTCAAAACGAAAAATACATTTTTCTTTTCGTTTCTTGTTAGAGTTTTGAGACTACCTTATAATATATTTTTCTTTCTTTGTTTGTTTTTATTTCGCAGTTTGTCGTTATTGCATCGCCGAAACCAAGTGAGCTTGCCAAGCGCCGAAGAGTGTCAGGACATACTCGTGAACTAAGGTAATTTTATATTCATAGGGGAATCTCTTTGTATTAAGATTTATTTTGTATACTATTCTGATTATAAGAATATATATAGCTTTTACTATGATAAACTGACTATTAGAAGCGAGACACTTACTGAGTTTTTACATGAATTCACGAGTCAAAATCTTTAATCACATAATGTTCATTACTTAAATTTCTAGATTAATATTTATTTTTTAATTACTAACGTATATAAGTTGTTTGACCTTGTTTTCGCAACTTGGTCATATTGGTAGGAAGAATTAGAGGAACTGATCTCGTCCGGAGTCCATTGTATGCATAATCATTTCCAAAGTCGGACCGTGGACGTAGTACATTCCCAGACATTTCCCCGGCATCGTCAGTAAGTTTTGCCATTCGTAGCACCATATTAAAACTCGTCAAGACTTGTCTCTTTGACGATTTATAATATGGTGCTACGAATGGCAAGACTCACTGACGATGCCG